GGCCACGAACGGCGGTCGACTACGTGGGAATCCAGCGACATAGCCATTACGCTAACTGCTGGTTCCCAGATCCCTGTTCTTGTAGAGCCTCAGTTCTAGCAGGGAAGAAAGGAAACACTCAGGCACGCACAACTACGTAACCGGGTGGGTGATACAGTGAGGTGGTGGTTGATATCGACGAAAATGGCTGTGCCAAGAGGGTCCTTTAGAGGTCCTCTGGGGTGAGATTGTCCTCTAGGCTCTGATCTTGGCCAACCCTGTCCTCAGGGAGCTTCCAGCCACAGCTAGGAGGAGGCCAGGGGCAGGACAATGCTGGTAGATCCGGCTTTGGCCTGTAGAGAAGCTGCTCTATTTGGAAGACCCCTAAGTGTGCCTCTCCCTGGCCAGACAGAAGAGTGAGATTTCCCCCTAGGGAAATCTTGGCGGTGGCCGTGGTGGTGATGGCTGCGACCATGGTGGTAGCGGTGGTGGCGGTGGCAGTGGTGGCGGTGGTGGTGGGTCTCAGCTCCAGGGCCTGTGCTTACAGGCCTGAGGAGCAGAAGGATGGAGGGACACCATTAGGAGTTTGAGAGAGAGACTGAGCAGTCAGAGACGTCGGAGAAAAAGAGTGGGGTGTTTGAGAGACTGAAGCAAAAGTGGGGTGGAGGGAGTGCTTAGACTAGTGGAGTGCCACTGAGCTCCGTCTGGATTCAGGCACATGTGGAGCATGGATGGCTTTGTCAGGAGCAGTGTCGGAGAGGGGCAGAGGCAGTGGCATGACCATCTTGGGCTGAAGAACTGAAAAAAATTTTCAAAAGCATTTTTCCCAAGAGAGGGCAAGGGGAGAGGTCCGGAGAAGCCTATATGGCCATAAGACAGAGACAGTTCCGTGGCCACTAAGAGACAATATATCCCGGCAGGCCTGACCCTTGAGGGTCATCTGGGCCAGTGTCTCCATCTGCAGATAGGGAAACTGAGGCCAAACAGGAGAGTCCTTCTAGGGCTGCACATGCAAAGTGGCAGGCAGACAGGCCCGGCACAGTCTCTAAGGCACTGCGGGGTCCTATGCCCCCCACAGGGAAAGCCTGTACCCTGGGGCCCTGCCTGGTGTGCCCCTGCTGGTCTGTCCAACATGGTCGTTCTCTTTGACCCCATGGTGCTATCCTTTGTTCTTCTCAGTGACCGTCTAGGTTTTGCCCTTCTCATTCCTTTTCTTTTTTTAAAAGAGATTTTTTTTCCTATAGGACATGTGCACTCGCTGGCGAGACACTGAGAGATAGAGACAGAAAGTGAGAAATCATCCCCTGTGTGTGTGTGTGTGTGTGTGTGTATGGCCATGCCGCAATACCTTGTCCTCCATTCTCCTCTGAGGATTGGGCGCGCGCACACACACACGCACACGCACACACACACGTGCCTGGCATCAGTTTTAAGCTGCTGGGTCTGGGACTCAAACTGCGGTAGACTATGTGGGAGTCCAGTGACATAACCATTATGCCATCTGCTGGTCCTGCCCCTTTTGTTTCTTTTTCCCAGGACTATCCCCCTGCCCATCACTCCCACCCACCCTTCTTTTGGCTAACTTGCCCTTAACATCTGGGCAATTCCTGACTCAAGAGGCCAACAGCCTCCTTCAGCCCCTCAGGCCTGTTCTGCTGGGCCCAGCTCCGTGTTCTCCTGTGCTGGTCTACTTGCTAGCTTCCCTGCTGAGCACGCGTTCTGGAGTTGTGTCTGCGTGTGTTGCCTCCAGAGCCTGGCGGTGGGTCTGACACGGGGAGGGCCCTCTCCATATTTGCTGAATGAGGAGGTTCCCCTCTATGGAATCCCTCAGCTCACTTTGAGGCCAGCATGGAATGAATGAGTGGAGCTGAGCGGGAGGCAAGACCACTTCTCTAAAGATGGTGGCTCCAATGCCCTGCTCACCACCACAGTCCTGGGCTGTCAGGGGCTGGTAGGAACTGTGCCTCATGGCCTGGAAGAGGTACTTGGGCTACTGGCAGGACTGGGAACAGGGAGAGGGGCATGACCTTTCTTGGGCCGGGCTCTGGCAGCCTGGTTATCACACTGGCCCTGCACTAGGTGAGGTGGGCGTGATGAAGATCAGGTGCTGTTTACCTGGCCCTCTCCCAGCGGCCGGCCTCCTTATTCCGGCCCACGACCCCTTTCTCTATCCGCAAAACAACAAAGGCTCTCCAGCAGCCAG